TTGCTGGCTGAACTGCCCTGTGAAACCTCATCCGTGTCCTCTTCCCCCCTCTAAGGACACCTCTGAGAGGAAAAAAACCCACAGAAGAGCTATTTGCATAAATATCATAACTTTTATTGTTCTGTTCACAGTTTTTGAAGACACATTCCTAAATTACACAGTTATTCTCTCTTAAGAATTTGTGCCTTTTTCCAATTTGAATTTGCCTGGCTTTGACTGCCAGTTGGTGGTTCTTGTGTTGCTTTTTAAGATCAGAGAGCTGCAGTGTGCAGTATTTTCTGCCTGTGAAGGTACTAGTGCACTGTAATCAAGACAGTCTCAACTCTGGTAGAAAAACTCAGCCAACTGAGTTTTCTCTCACCCTCTCTAAGGCATTTTCACACTCCACCAGTAATTTCTGAATCATATTTTTTGCATCCATTCCAATTACTCAGCTTCTCTTGTAGAATGTAAATATCCAAATTGCATCCAAAATTCCCAGCTCTCCCAGCTGAGACATACAGAAGGATAATCACTTACAGCTAACAGTAATTAAAAACAAGAACACATTCGTATTCATTAGGCTTTTACCCTGGGACTGCACTGGGAGTGTGCATGGAGCTGTTTTTCATTCTGGTCCTGGCTATGGATATTTCTGCAATGTTTTATCAGCAGTGATTTAGTGCCTGTGTTCCTCAGTGATCTGGAACCACAGGAGCTGCCAGGTCCCTGCAGAACCCTTCTCTGGGCATCCCCACCTCATGGTGGCTCTCTCTGAACTGCAGCAGGGTGAGATTGCCAGGGACCACGAAGCTCTGCAGGGCCTGGCAGACCCAGCCCACTCTGATCCCAAAGAGAACTGGAACCCAAGAGACAGAATGACAGGACTTACACCCAGCTCCATCAGGAACATCCACCTCCTTTTCCATCCCTTTCCAGGGTGTCCCACTGTCCTGAGCCACTGACCACCCCCAGCAGCAGCTCAGACACTGCCCCAGGCTCCTCCTTTGCAAACACTGATCAAGGTTTTTGGGCCTCCTGAATTAAAAACTGTTAATTTTTAATCCTGAGCATTGCTAAGGAATGACATCACCTTTCCACTTCTCTTACATCATCCCTAGGTTTTATCTCCTGCATCTATTTCTGAACAGTTCTTATCCTATTGCAGATTTCCTCTGAACTTCTGCTCCTCATCACTCTCTCCAAGCACTCCAACCCACATTTTTCTTTTCCTTTGGGTTGTGCTTTCCTGATTTTCTACATTTCCTAACTCCCATTTTGAATTGATTGCTGTCTGCTTCCCTTTTTCTTATTTGTTTTACATTAGTTTCCATCTAATTTTTCCCCTCATTTCATCACTGAAAGTAGGATGGGCAGGTAGCCAATGTTGTCCCCCTTCTCAATTGCAAAATTATTGGTTTTTTGGCCATTTAATACCTTTCACTTAGAAAACTGTCAATTCTACTTCAGTTTTTCATCTAATTTCCTCCCCACTCCCAGATCTGATATGAAATTTGCTCAGCTATGCCCTTTTGAAGCACCAATTAAATTTATTAGCAGCTCACACGGCTGTTTGCTGAGCTCCACTGCAATCAGGATCCCAACCTCATTTCTGACATTCATTTATCTTTATCTGGCATAAACAAGACAAACTAAATAATTTCACCCTTCATGTCTAACACTGCTGCAGAAAAACAGGTCTAGGATACAGACCAGGAGCTTTAATCTTGACTACTGGATTCCTTTCTACCACAAAACAAATAAATACATTTTTACTGTCCCTGTGAAGAAAACCCAAGCCAGTGTGTGCTGGAAGTTGATGGTAACAGGCACATGTGTCTTAGTAAACTCTTCCACATTCAATTCTCTTAGAATAATTTTTTAAAAGATTAATTATTTTTAAACCACTCCAAAAAGCAAAAAGAAATTAATTTCCCAAGTCTCGAACAATTTTCTGGCTTCCTGCACTGAGACTGAGCCTTCAGTACCTTCTTTAATATCACAATCTCCTCAGACAAGCTGCCTTTCCAATTTTCTGCTTCTTTAGCAGGTGCAGAAGTTTAAAGTGTGAGCCAAGTCTGCCAGACAAACAGACCTGGGTCTGACACACAGCTCAATTAACAGTAACTTATTTTTCCAATTAACCACCTTCATGCCTCCCTGTTTAAAATACCTTAGAATGCATTTCTGCATTCTAGATTTCCCAGATAAAATGAAACAAAAACCATCTGAAGCACTTTTGGATACGTTAACAGCATTGTGCTACTGCTTTGTTTGAGAAATGATCCACATGGAATAGAAAAATCTGTCCCACACTATAAATAAATAAATCCACTGCACTGCAACAGGAGTAGGGAGCTGGAGACAGAAAGGAGATGGGTGACAAGGCTTGCTCCAAACTCCCCAAAGAGTGGAGAGGAAGAGAAAACAAAGAGGCAGCAGGAGGTGAGTGGCTGCATAGGGTGGGGAAAGGCATAGGAACAGTCAGGTCTCCATGGCAGGGACAGCCAGGAGCAGTCAGGTCTCCATGGCAGGACAGCACTAGGAGCAGTCAGGTCTCCATGGCAGGACAGCACTAGGAGCAGTCAGGTCTCCATGGCAGGACAGCACTAGGAGCAGTCAGGTCTCCATGGCAGGACAGCACTAGGAGCAGTCAGGTCTCCATGGCAGGACAGCACTAGGAGCAGTCAGGTCTCCATGGCAGGACAGCACTAGGAGCAGTCAGGTCTCCATGGCAGGACAGCACTAGGAGCAGTCAGGTCTCCATGGCAGGACAGCACTAGGAGCAGTCAGGTCTCCATGGCAGGACAGCACTAGGAGCAGTCAGGTCTCCATGGCAGGACAGCACTAGGAGCAGTCAGGTCTCCATGGCAGGACAGCACTAGGAGCAGTCAGGTCTCCATGGCAGGACAGCCCTGCCAGGCTCCCCTGGGCCAGGGGCTGGGACAGCCAGGGAAGAGCCTGGAAGGGTGAAGGGAAGAGAGGGACCCAGATGGAAACAGGCAGCAGGGAAGAAAAGCCATTCGAGATGCTCGGCTGAACAAGGGTTTCTCTGCCAAGGAGCAGGGAAGGAACAAGGATGACTTGGCCTGGAGCAAAGCGCTCAGGGAGGGAATGGGGTGAGATTTGACAGCTCAGGCAGAACAGAGCAGGAGGCAGACTGGGCAGCAGAGCCTGCAGCCCCCACAGAACGCTCCTCTGGGCTCAGCACTGAGGCAGAGATTCCTGGCTCCAATCACACTTGTGTGTGGCCTCCCAGTGAAATGTGGAAACAGAAATTGCTGCTTCAGCTCCGAGTTCCTCCCCGCCAGGAGCTCAGGTCAAGAACGGGGATCCACACACAGAACACAAAGAATTCCCCCAGCACACACATGGGTTACACCCAACACCACAGTGCCACACTGCAAGTTCAACTTCAAAAACCTATTTATATATAACTTAAGAAAAATTAGGGTTCTCCAAGTCCAGGCACACAAACCTGGGCAGTTTTGGACAATTTCTGAGCAGTGTCAGCTCAGTTTTTGATCACTGAAATGATCAGACACTCCAATGCACTCCCCAAACTCACAGAGCACAAACCTGGTTCTGCCATTTCCTACCTCCTGAGTGCTTGACTTTGTACAGCCTTAATAACAGTCCTTTAAAAGTAGCTCTCTGTGGGTAATTGTGTGTGGGACATTTGCCAAACTAAACATGAGGGAGTTCAAGAGGCTTTTCTAATCTTGTGAGTTTATCCACTAAAGAAAAAGATTTGATTAAAAAAATGAAGTACAGCTAAACTGGGAACAATACTTTACTACGGGCTGTTCTTCATAGGCACTTCAGAATCTTGAAAAAAACCCCCACGAAATTAGGAACTTATTAAATCAGAATGAAATGTACCAATGCAGAAACATAAACAGAAACGCCAGATGTATAATGTCAACTTGTAACACACAGCTTCAATTATTTCTTCTTAATTCATTTGTTTTCTTAGCTTCTTTTGTTTTGCTCTCTGGAAAAGGCCATTTTCTAATGACAGATCACAGGAGGAAAGATCCAAAGTTCAAGTTTACTCCAAGGAAAAGCAGCCTCATTTCTGTGCTCACAGCCCCACGTCCCTTTTGTACTTTTCACTCTCTCAGAGGCTTCAGGACAAACTCAGGCCTGGACTGGGAGGCAAAGAGATCTACGTGGAAGTTTAGTAAAGGCTTTAAAGTTTTACTTCTCAAGTACAAAATTGAAATTAGCTCTTGAACAGGAACTGCAGCCACAGGAAATGGCAGTGAGTGACAGGCACACAGTCACTCACAAGTGTGCAGGTGCGTGCTCACTGCAGTACCACGTGCAGGATTCCTAGCTGGCTCTCACTTGTGTTATTTGAAAAATAATCTTCATTTATCCAGTAAAAAACCCCAGCCCATTAATCAACCAACTTTTATAGTTAAGCAGATTTGAGCAGTGGAAACACAATTACTTTGTTCTGTGAAGCTGATCTTCTCCAAATCCCGAGCACATAAACTGAATTTCACTCACCACCTGTCACTTCCCAACTTGCTCACTCGAGGACCTGGGCCAGGGATGTTTCCCCATTCCCAAACCATGGCACAGGGGCTCTCCAGGCTCTGTGCAGCACCAGTGCAGCACCAGTGCAGCACCAGTGCAGCTGTGAGCCAGCCACAACAAACAGGAGCCTCAGTGTTATTTTACAGGGGCTTGAATTTCAAACAGAGGGATTTTTGCTGGTGCTTTTTTCCTCACTTACTTTATATAGAAAACAGAACTCAGGATGTGGAATTTCAGGACATCACATAGGGCAAGAGAAGTATAGTTTCAAATTAAGAGCACTACAGTGAAGCCACTACTGTGCCTGAAAATAAAGAACATTCCACTGAAGAAATAGAAGTGCCATTTTCTGAAGAAAAGGGATGACAGTTTTCTTCCACTGGGCAATGCAACATCAAGCATGACAAGACATAAATGATCCATTCCTTGTGCACACCACGATGCAAAATCGCTGACAAGAATTGCAAGTTCACATGTGCAGCAGATACAAACCCTTCAGAGTTTATTGATGAAAAGAAATTCTAGTGAATTGCAAAGTGAAGTTTCAACTTTATCCCACTAACAGCATTTCAGGAGGAAAAAGTAACACCACCATTGAGCTTTACAATCCTGTATTTTTAGAAAATGACATTATGGTACATCAATCCCCCTCAACATAACAACATGACATGATCTTGCTCTTCAGCCCCCAGGCTACTCCCAGTAACCTGAGCTGCTCCTGGCTTGCACATGCAGCTGTTCCAGCTGTGCACTCCCAGCTGACAACTGCCAATGCACAGCAATAGTTATGATCATCCATGCACGGAGTATTTGCTTTAAGATGTGGAGAACAACATAAAAATAGAAGAAACCATTTTCCACTCGTTTCCCAGCACTAGGCTTCAAGATATTTCAGGTATCTGTTTATCCCAAAGTCGCCCAGAGTGCACCAAGCAGCCTCTACTGGGTGTTACAAAAATCAACAATAAATGTGCAAGTGGTCATCTTAAAGTAACAGCAAGGACAATAATTAGATTAGTAATAACTTGATTTCTACTACCATGAATCAATCACAGGTTTCTAATATCTGATGTTGTGTGAGGACCCCAGGCAATTATCTTATTAAGAAACTCTACATTTTGTGCACAACTTCCTAAGATATAGAATGTCCTTCAGAATAATTCACTTTCTGTGAATACTTCATGAGAACATTTGCTCTTGTGTTGCCATGAAAGGAACAACTTACAAAAAGAGCCAGGTGGCTTAGGAATATCCATCCAATCTATATTTGCACTCTATCTACAAACTGGCCTTTTAGGAACCTTGGAAGAAAAAAAATCCTTAAGATTTCTCTCTACTGTCTATGAAAGAAGGGTTTGGTCAAACAGGGACTGAGAATTCCCCTGATCAGTGACTTTATTTCAAGCTCAGCAAAGCAAAGCATTACCCAGACAATTCAGGGCTACTGTGTTCAGGCTCTTGTGAAAAACGGTGAGGGAAAACCTCAGGATTTTGTTAAATTCCAAAATACAAGCAGTCAATTTGATTGTTAGGACTGATGGTGTGGGTGACCCAGCTGCAGGTTACACTGAAATCCTCTCCTGGTCTCCTGGCTCAGTGTCTGAAGGGTCTGGAAAAGCATGAGAAGGTTTTCTGGGACCTCTCTGTGCTCCTGGAGTGCAAACACCAGGAACAGCTTTGCCCATGAACCTTCTCCAGTTCCAGGCTGGCACAGATCACCAGGAAGTCACTGCTGAGCACAGAGCTGCTGCTGGCTTTGCCCAGCAAAGGCAGCTGTGGTAGCTTCCTCTGGGTGTAAAACCTGCCTGGAACTTTACTCCAGCTACCCTCACAGGAGACCAGGTTAAACCTTCAATCCTCTCCCTTTATCCTGCAGACAGTGATTTATTTTTTTTTAAACCAACCTTTTTTAGGCTGTTTTAGAGCAGAACAATGGACTCTCAAAAAAACTTTTTTTTTTCAAAGTGAATCAGAAATTCTGATAAGAGAACAAGATATTTACAGCCACTTAAAAAAAAATCTACTTCATATCTCAGTCTCCCTTCAGCAAAGGTTTTCTCAAATATATTCTTCAAAGCCATGAAAATCAATGTTGCACTATTACTCATAACCTTGCCTTTCTGAAAAGAATGCTTCATTAGAAAGTTTTCTTCAGCTTCTACTGCCCAGGCAGAATCTTCTTTATCAATTCTGCCCAATTTGTCCCACAAACTCCCTGCTTTGTCCTCTCCAGCTCATCTCCCACCTGCAGCCAGGCTGCAGTGGCTCTGTCCCTTCCCTCTGAGCAGACAAGGCACCAGCACTTCAAAATGCTAAAAATACACCTCTCCTTTCTATTGAATCTCCTAGAAATACTTCCAGATTCACGTTCGTAAGATGAACACACCGATCACAAGGTTTTTTCCCACCTATTTTTCTCCTTAAGCCTTACATAAAATGTCACTTATTTGCACTTGCAGAGGAGGAAGCCCTTGAGACACAAGTGGGACAAACAAAGGTCAGGCTGCAGCCCCCACAGCTCTCACAGAATCCCAGCAACAGGGAAGGAATGACAGAAGTCATCTGCAAAAGACTCAGCTTCATCTTGTAATATGCTACAACGAATTTTGCCACTGAATGTTTTTGGGTTTACCATTTGAGAACAGATGTGAATTTACCTGCTCAAAAACGGTTTAATCTACTGAACCCATCATGTTAAAACACGCTGAGTTTGTTTATACACCTCGTGGTAAAAGGAAGCTTAGAACCAAAATCTCCTTATTCTAAAGGTGCTGTCAAGTGTCTGAGCTCCTGAACCCAACCAACCTGGAAAGTGGGATGTTACCTTGTACCTCAGCATGGTGACTCTGAACAACTTTTGTGTGTCAGGCTCACGATGGGGTGGTTTGCTTTGATATTATAATTAGTCTGGAAAAAAAGAAATCCACCCTGAAATCAGACTGCAAGTTTCCTTATGCCATGAACAAAGCTGACAAGAGAACACTGTTTCCTCCCCACCTCTAAAACTGTGAGAACAGGACAAAAGTAACAAAGGAAACATGAATTTGGGGGCTTTATTTAATTTTTCTTTTCTTTCTTTTTTTCTTTTTTCTTTTTTAAGATGCTACATAGTCAAACAAGATTGGTCTTTTTACGGCATAGGACTATTTACTACTGATATTTTTGTTTCTCCCCTAAATAGACTTATTTACATACAAAAACAGTTTCTGACCACTGTTTCCCCAATGCTCAGATGATCAAAACTCCCAACAATGGTGTAGTGCCCAAAACACCAGGAGGCAGAAGAATCTTGCACCACTACAGCAGCAAAATTTTAGTTCTTGTCACTGGCTTTGAACAGGCGCCTTTCATACCACAAAGAATTAGTCAATTGCGTGATAATAAGGAAACATGAGATGAAATACATTAAATAAGTCAAATATGCATTAAACATCTCTGAATAACATTTTAATTCAACTAAATGAACCAACAGCAATGTAGCTTGGTCCCTTGGTGAGAACAAGGCATTGACCTCTATTGTGGACGAGCCCCTCGGTGCTGCCCAGCTCCCTCAGTGCTGCCACAGACAAATCTTTGCAGCTCCTCACTCCTCATTTAAGTGCCAAGAAATTGGTAACTTGCACAGAGTTGAAGACACTGACAGAAACTGTTAAATTCATGAGCAGAATGGTGGATTAATGTATTTTACAGAAGTTATCAACACCTCCTGCCTAACCCAGCTCCAAACATCCCTAGGGCCAGCTCCAGCAGTGGAGGAAGAGGTTTTTCTAGTTTTCCTTTTTTTTTTCTTTTTTTTTTTTAAAAAGAGGTAATCCAGCAACATGTACCAGGGTCTAAGAATGTTTAAAATGACATATACAATATTCCATTGTAGTGTTAAATCAGGATTTTCTCCCCCCTTCATCATTGAAGCATATTCTCTTTCATTCATTCCCTCACCGTACATTTTGAACTTTCTAGATTATGTTACATAGTATTTGTGCAGGGGTAATTTAAAGGCAAGACCTGTGAGATGTCATACATTAATTTTTTTTTTTAAACATTGTTATGAATAAATTTAATCCAATGATATGGCAGAACCATCAAACCAATTTACAATTTCCAGCATGCTGCCTCTACAAGGCTATTTTTCCTATAATTACACCAAAGACAAAGAACAAAACCACCAAAGCAAGTAGTCTGGAGCTGAGCCCTTCGTCCTTGACAGCAGCTGCAGAAGGAGATATTGGGCTGTTTGTCTGGGGTACCTTCCTCATCCGCAGTCCATCTTCTTCCTAAAGGAAGAGATATTGATTATTTCTACCAAAAAAAAGCTTTAAATATTCACGCTTCTCATATTTATTTAGGTGGGTGTTAAAGAATAGGTGAAAGTGAATTTACAGCTAAGTTAGAGCTCTGTGTCCTGGATAATCCTGAGAGGGAAGGGCAGTGAGGCAGAGGGGAAAGCCACAAGCTCTTGGAAGTTCTGTCCTGCTAAGGGAGTGGGGAAGCACTGAGGAACCCTGCAGGAACTTCTGTCCAAAGCCTGGAGATGGCTCCAGAACTTCAGAAAAGTGATGGAGGAAATGCCATGGAGGTGCTTTTCTTGCTCTGTAACAAGAAAGGTGCTGCTGGGGAAAATGTTTCTCAGTATAACTAAGAAGCAGTTGCATGTTTTTCACAAGCCAAGGCAATTACACTCCTCACTCCCCATGTCAGATCCTCCAGCCCTTCAAGGGAAATCAGTTTCCCCATCATATTAATGCTGACATTTTGGACATGAACCTAATGGCAATAATTAGGATATTTTCTTGATAGGAATTTGGCAGCTCACCTGATGTAGAGATGAGACAACAGATCAAACAAAGGAACACCAGCAGACATTCCCATCTCGTGGGAATGGTGCTCCCTCAGCTCTCCTGAGCTGCTGTGCAGCACAGCTGTGTGTTAGCACACTCCAGTCACACACACACACCCAGAGCACTTCAGGAGAGGGTAATGAGTCTTTTGTGACTTCATTTGTGTCCAGCTGAAGCAACAGTGTTAGACTTTTAATGTGATAAGGTATTATAGTGCAAAAGGATAAGGTACCAAAGCAAAAGTCTCCAGTCTCTACTTCAAAAAATACTCAAGAAATAAAACTGTAATGAAAGTTACTGCAGTCTTCAAAATTGTCAGATAAGTGAAGTTCAAAGGGCTTGGGATATGTCAGTGTTTCTCACTTTTGAATTTAAAGGGGCACCTACATGATCTGAAGGTGAACTTATTTTTCTATTAATTAATTTATTTATTTACTAATTGAAAGCCACAGACCTCACTGCTGATCTAATTCTGAATGGGCACAACTGACTTCCATAAACAATAAAATGCTGGTTTACATACAACACGATTTATATAGAAACAACACATTTTCATTTGAAATATTTTCATTTCCTTCTGACAGTGACTCCAGCCTGACACTGACAGCACCTGGTAGCAGGCAGTGATTTAGCATTGCTCTCTGATGTTTTACAGGTGTTTTTGACACTCCACAAAGGGACAAAGATCTCACCTATCTGGGACGTTACTGTAAGACATCAGCTCAATTCTAGATAGCTCCTGTAGAGTGAAGACCAATTTTCACAAAAATTAAATAAAACCATATAGAACTTAAGAGTACTGAGTTGCTGGCAAAACAAGAACACAAGGAGAAGTTAGGGCCATGTCTGTTATGTACACACATTATTTCTGTGCAAAACAAAACTGTTTTCAAGAATTGCTTCATGCATCAGGCAGCCAAGCAGATCAGAGCTGAGAACAGAGCTCCTTTCACCGGGCTGCAGGAGTCACAGCATCCACACTTTCCTTGGTGCTGATATCTATGGCAGCAGACACTTACAGCAAGTCAAGCTGCTGTAAAAAGAATTTTTCAGCAGAGTGATAAAGGCTTCTCAATGCCTGGATTTCCCAGCCATGTGCTGGGTATGACAGGAAGCCCATTTCCCATTCATCTGTCTTAATTTGGCCATTTCAGCAGCACATTACAGGTGCAATTACTGAAACACTCAGTATTTGCACAACACTGCCCTCAAGCTCCCATGGTTTGGGAGAAGGGGCCAAGTCCAACACTGAATGCTTAATTCAGACTGAGAAATTAGGTGGGAAAAGAAAAAAGAGGGGGAATTCACTCCTCTGGGTTGCTACCCAATCTCCTTCTGTGACTGCATGACTTGTGCCTCCTTTCAAAGGAACCATTGATTTCAGCACCTTCTCGGAGTTTACAGAGAAACCTGAATTATCTTTTACTTTACAGACAGCAGTAAAATATTGTGCTAAGGTCAGGTAACCAAACCTTTAAGATGGAAGCTTCTTTTTCAGGAAAGGGGTAAATCTGAAAAGAAAACAACAGCAATCTTTACCTTAAACTGTTTATTCTCCTCCCGTAACCTCTGAACTTCTACTTGAAGCCTCTTATAGTCTTCCATTACTTTCTTAACTTCAGTGTCATCCAAAGAAGAACTTATTGATTTAGACATTACAGAGGAATCTGTCTTTGTTGCAGTTGTGGATACAATTTTATTTATTTCTATGTCATGCTGTTAAAAAAGGACAGAGTGATTTTTGGTTAGTTATTAACACCACACCACACACCTGATACATAGGAGGACAATCAGGTAAAATTGTCTGTGCACACCTGACACGTGCCTGTAGCAAAAGAAATAAACAACATTTTGCTTCCTGTAACTTTACTGCTATCCCAGAAAACATCAGACCAGCAGCAGTAAGTGAGCAGAGAATGACCCTGACTTGTCAGACCCTGCATGTACAGAAATGTCCCTAAACCAGGGCCACAACCAATGGTGTCCCCCCCTTCCCTGCCAGGCCCAGCACAAGCAGGACCAGGACAGTCTGCAGCTCCTCCCCACCCCTGGCTGTACCCTCTCCTGTTTCTGTGGGGATGCAGGAATTTGCAACCCAGGCTGGGAAACAAAGTTCAGATGTCCCAACCCTGCTGCCTCTCCTGCCTTTGGATCTCCTCCATGCTCTGCACTTTAGAAAGGGTCTCTCATACAATCAAAGCTCTCCCCAGCCAATTACATAATCCTAATTACAGACTGTTCAGTGCAAGGTAGAACAACTGTGCCTTTAGGACCTGCACACTAGGAAGCATTTTTCAGTTCTTTCAATCCATTATCAGTTTTATACTGGACAATAGATATTTGCATTACAAATTAACATGTCCATTACCCTAACAAGAAGGGATCCTACAATATTATACCTGATAATTTCAATATCATTCCTAACTGCATTTGTGTCATCCTCACCAGTTTTGTATCAATTTACCTGACAAAATCAGAGTTGTATTAAGGAAGTGTTGGACAGGCAAATTTATATTGATGATGATTATAACTGCTTCAGTATAAACTCTGAGCTTCACAACCAGCAATCAGCACCTTTAATTTTTTCTTAAGTATTCTTTATCCTGTGACCTTTCACTAAATGAAAACAGATCAACTCAAAAATTGCTTTGTGCTACTGCTGCATTTATGAAGTTCAAACTGGCTGTTAGTTACACCAAGGATTACCAAGCTTTTAAACAGTTTACATTGTGCTCTTAAAGAGTGATGCCATCCAGGCAGTGAAACAGAGGATTGTGTCTTGTGCTTTTACAGCTGTCTGTAGAAACATGCCATTTTACAGGATTTACTGTGGTATTAAGTTAAATCACTCAATATGCATCTGAAAATACTCACAGGCTTATCATTCTCTGCTGGTAGCTCAAACACACACCTAAGTTTCGAATCCATGAGTTCTTCCGGTTTTGCTTCTTTCCACTGGAATAAGTTAATATTAATTTCATATTAAACATATGAGTACAATCAGGCAGATTGGAAATGCAGTGCATTATGTAAACAAATCTCATTATTTCACTCAGAAAGAACCCACAGGTGTTTATCACACCACCATTAACCACGCACAGGATGAAAAATGAGATCAAAACCAAAACTGAGTGGTATCATAAAGACAGAGCAGACACTATGAAGCAAATCATTCTAAATAGTCTGAAAGTTCCACAGGTAATTTATGAGAGAACTGGGAGCTGTATCAGAGTAATTAGCAGAGATAGAGGGAGTAATGAGCCTGCTTAAAAAAAAGAAGGAAAAAATATTGAAAGGAGGGGTGAATTCAAGGGGAGGGAATGATAACAAGCCCCCAAATAAATCACAGAGTGAGTTCTCAACTCTCTGGCCAGTGGAGTTCCTATTCAAACTTTTCAAATTTCACATGAGCTTTTCTTCCTGACTGGAATGAACACAGGACTGTTCTCCCCACTCCTTGTTTTCCACATCCTTATTTTTCAGCATCAATGTCTGAGCAGCACCAGGTGTGCTACACTCAGAGTTATGGATAACTTGCCCCCACACCTTCTCTCCCCTTCAGCTGGGGAGTCTGCCATAAACAAGATTCCTCGCAACCTTTCTAACAGGGATCAGCAGTAATAAATCTTTGCTCAGTATCAGCTGTAACCCTGAAGTGGACAGATTTATTCTCAGTGATAATGGACAGCAAGAAGTGCCCACACTTCCATCCTGGAGCTCTCACGTGCTCCCCTTCACTCTGACCATCCTCCTGGTAGCTTGGTATTCCTCAGCATATCTCAAGTAGGTGACAAATTATGGCTAAGCCCATGCAACCTGGAGCAGTATTTAACTCATCCTAAACAGCTGAATCCTAGTTCAGCTCTTCTGGGGCTGAAGTCAGATCTATTTCCAGCTCCTTGGCTGCCTGTGAAGTGTTGAAAGCTTTATAGTACTCCCATAACTGGTCTCACCTGTTCATCCAGAATAGGAAGAGATCTGGAGAGTGGTAACAAAACTGAGAACTGATCAAAGTGTTACAGGAAAGGGAATTTTATCAGTCTGGAGAGCTCTGGAAAACTGAAAGGCCCATCTAGGTACTAATAAACGTTCTTTGCCAGCAGAATAACATTTGTCATGGTATAAAGTAACTCATAAAAATTAAAGAGCTCAGAAGAAAGGCAGACTGACTTATCTTTCTAGTGATGCAGACATTTTATTACTATTGCTGTTTCTCCCACTGGATCTTATTTTGAGCCCATTAAACAAATATAGTTCCATAAATCAGTTTCAGAAGGGAAATTATTAACCTGCAGAGTGCCCCAGCTTTAAGAAGCTATTCAGAAGAAGACACATATTGTAAAGACTACTGTAGAGAATTTTTGAGTTGGCTTTTTTGTTTTTAAGCCACACACTTTTAGAGTAATGGTCTTTTTCCTTTTTACATTGTGTCCTCAATAGCCACTGAATGTTCTCTCAAGCTAACAAAAGCTAGGCTACAGAGATCTTCCTTGTGCCTTCTTCTGGGGGCAAATCTTGCTGATAAAGGAAACCCAGCAGTTGACAGAATGGTTTACTCCTCTGCAGGTTGTCTTACAGTAGCCTAACATCTTATTTTTATGTCTTTTGTCCTTCTCTGCTCCAGCACCTACATATTTCTACTGCTCTCATTTGTAATCCACAGGACAGAATCCATGAGAGCCTTTCATTTACAAAGCCACAGCAGACACAGGCAGGGATAAAGAAAAACACAGTACTTGTAAATCATCCTGCTGCATCTTGCAAAAGGAGCTGCTCAAGAGAAGACTGAGAGTAGATGCATAAAAATGATGCCACAGACTCAGAATATATTCTGTATATCCTTAGAATATATGGTTCAAGCTGGCCTTTCTACAGAAGGATATATTGCAAAAAACTACAACTACTTGTTTCATGGCTTGGCATCCCATTACTGACAGCAGCTTCCTAAAGAAGCAACCACAGACAAAAATTCTCAGAGCAGGATTCCTGGGCTCAAAGTAACACAAAACTCCCTGTCATGCAGAGATGGAAATCTGGAAAAGCTTTCAAGGACCATTCCAGTGCGGTTTGACAACACCCCTTAAACAACACAGTCAAAGGACGTACAAAATTCTGCAATTAGAAAGAAATCCATTTAAATTAATTTCAATACTTACTACTGCTTCCATATCTGAAGTATCAGCTGGAGCAAACATAGACTGAACCATAAACTTGTGTTTACTTTTCTCATTAGGGTCATAGTCAAAAGGCTGTAGCATCACTGGAAGAAAAAAACCCAGAACACATTGCATTACCACTGCTCTGCTGCAGTCATGCACTGATCAGACAGTTACCAGATTTCACAAAAACAAACAGTAAAATGGTTTCAAGCTGTCTGTTTTTAAGACCAAAGCAGCAGCTGAGATCAGGAACCTCAATTTAAACTGGAATTTTGAAAGGAGGCAAGAGAAACAGATTTCCTCAGTCTGTCTAGACTTTGGTCTGAGAATTCTGGAAATGCTGATCACTCTACAATATTCAGTACACAGTTATGGCAAGATAACAATAGTCATTTACAGGAAAGAGGATCATTTACATATCTTCTGGGACAGAGGGAAAAATTTTCCAAGACAGCATCTTTTTGTCTTGCTCCATCCTTGGGGCAGAAGTAAGAAGCATTTTGATGAGCTGTACACACAATATTGCTGATGGTGCCCAAGAAAAACTACAGAGGCAAAGTCAAACATTGTAAACCTTGAGGTTGAAGCCTTGGGATGGAAATTTCCTCTACAAAGTTTAAGACTCTCATGGCATTTGATTTATCAAGTACAAGAATTTTGCTTCCACAAATAAGTCACTGAAAGTTTGTTACCAATTTATAGATGGAAGTTTATATTTAAATGTGATGCAAACTTTGCCTATGAAGGGTATGCAAGGAATGTATTTCTCTTCACTCAAAAAAATAAAAAGCATTCCAAAATTTACTTATGCAGAAAATTACTCTATTTAGGGGGCAGAGAGGAAGGAACAGCAGGTTTAGGGAGTGGGTGTGCTTTAATTTTTTAAGCAATATTGGGAATTTCCATGTCTTTGCTTCCGAGTTAAAGCAACCTGAGGAACAGTTGGGAATTTAATTTAAACAGAATAATCTTTAATCACTGTGGTCGCTTGGAACCCCCACATTTGCAAATGACACCTGGATATTCAGCTATTGGGGCATTAAAAAATATGAGCTTGGCTTCACCATGAGACAGAACACGTGGAAATAAGCAACACAGTTTACACAAACATGTTATTAGACACTGCAAAAAGCCACCACCCCCTCAAACTGAAAACAAAGCTTGCAAACACTGCCATTACTGCTAACAGAAAAAAAATGATGTAAGGTTTAAAAATTCACATTTTATGACCTGTCTTACTTCAACCCCTCAATTCAATCACTAAGAAGAGAAGCAGGTCAAGAATTAGGACCATTTTCAAGCACTGGTGCTATTAACATCATGTGCCCAAATTCATATGCACTAATTGCAGGGGTTTGTCATATAAAAGCAATATCCAAAGATCCCATTTGTTACAAATGAAGGCAAGTCAAAGCAATTTGCCTCCCTTAACGAGCAGGGGATGTTATGGCTGTGCCATCTTTACTGTGCACACAATCTGTGGCCATCAACAACCACATGCCTTTTAAAGCCCAGAGAGAAGGCAGGCAATAAATTCTTTCAGATGAGGTGCTTTAAAAATTATTATACATTTTAAACTCACCTTGCAGTAGTTGGATATTTTTCCAAAAAAAGTTTGCAAATTAATTTGTTTTAAAGGTTTACCCTTAAAACTATTTTGCTAATAGGAGTGACTGTGAAAGCACAACAACTTCAACACTGAACACAGCACTGAAAAGCAGCAGCATCATTTTTTCTCCTCTGTAGCAAACACTTAATTTCAATGTGTAAGATCCAACTGGATAGCCAGAACTGTTCAGCATTTATGGAACTTCTATGATTGTGGCTTTTTCAGCTCGCTTTGCTGAGTGCAGCTATCAGCTCATTTGAAAATCCTCATTTCCCAAGGGACAGTGCTGAATCCATCCTGGAATGCCAAATGATCACTGCCCCCAGCTCCATTCACTGAACCACAAGAGCCAGAGAGGGCTTGACAGCACAGACGTTGTTAGCACTTGTATTTTTAGATCAATACATGAAAGCCACATTGACACAAATTATTCAGCAAATGTCTTGTAAGCCAGATGGGAAGCTCAAAAATATGTACTTTTTTCAAGAGGAAACCAAACCATTTTAATATTTATTCACATACTATTGGGGTTTCTGTGAAAGATTAGCTCCATAAAATTGCCCTAATTGCTGGAGAAATTGCTAGTGGGAATGTGGCTCCTTTGTTCTGAATGGAAATCACAAACCTTATGCAAAAATTATGGGAGAAGTATGTTCCTACAGAATGCCTTATCACATCAGAGGTCCCATCTGGTCAGAAGCTTCAGCTTTTATCAGTAATCAGAGTTTTAAGAAACAAAATTATTAATGTGATCTTCCAGTTTACAGTCAGCAGCATCCATCAGGCAGAGATGTATCTCAACCACCTCCCAAGCTGCTCACCCCAGAGCTCGAGCACCAGCACTGTTGTACCACAAGCAAAAACTGCAGAGTCACTGAGAGATCAATGGCCATGGGTTTTCTGACACTCCTGCAATATCCCCAGTATTTAATGCTCAGCAGAGAGCTAAGGAGAGGCACTGACCACCCAATGTGCTCCTTGTTTTCCACCCAAGTTTACTGGCAAAGTTAGTTACAAAGTTAGTTACAATGACAGCAGCCTTAAACTCCTCTGGTTTTCCTAGAATAAACCAGCTTTTTCAAGGAACAGAGGAAATCTGAAGCAGGGAACACCTTTAACACCTGCTAGGTTATAGCTGTCCTTTCCAAGAGCAGAAGGAACAGAAAAGTCTCCCAGCTCAGATAGTCAGCAACCTTCCTCTAGTTTCCATCTAAATTTATTAATGGCCTGTTTACTTGGTCCTGGACCAACGCTGCCCTAATACTGAAATACCAGAGAGGGGGAAGAGTCATTTACTTCTGGGGCCCTCCAAGCCATCAATCACAGTAACTCTGGCCTACTGGTAAACTTAAGCCAGACTTGGTGGGTTCTCTCTAGGCCAGGCTCCCATTCATCCTCTGCACCTGTTTTGGTTTGAGCTCCTCTAATTACACATGCAGGAAACTTTACTAGTGCCATGAATCACAGCATTCATGCCCTCTCACCTCTCCCCTGATCCAGATGTATGATGCTACATCTGCCTTACTCACAGCCACATTCTGTATTATTATTATTATGTCTATTATCTGCTCACCCCAATCAGGCCCTTTTATTCAACAAGCTTGCAATTGCAGCCAGAGTATTTTATTCTCCAAATATGTGATTTTGCAGTTTTTCTAATGAAACTCATCCCACTTTTCTTACTGTAGCCTTCAAGGACACCTAATTCTGCTGTATATCTTCAATCTCTCAACTTTACAACATCATCAGAGTTTTTAGTGTACTCTTTGTTCCAGAATTGCTTGTAAAAGCATTAAACAAGATGAGGACCAAGAATCACTCTCGAGAAACATCACTGGTAGCTCCCTGCTCTCACATTTCCATCCACATCACTGTTCATTCCTAAGCAGCTCATTCAACAGACTGTCAATTTATTTGTTCTTTTCTACCTTTATCAATCGTTTTCCCAAATGGAACTGCATGGAATTCTTCATGGTCTGGATGGATCAAATCTACCACACTCATGTCACATAAAATACCCCAACCAGAAACAGGGGCAAGCCTCAAGATCCTTGTGGAATTCCATCAATTCTGGCAGAGGTGAGCAAAGGACACTCACATCCATGGAAACAAGCAGAACCCATTGCATCATCCCACCTTTATGTTTACATAAATAAACATAAAATTTCTGTAAATATTTCAATAATATTAAGAAGTGTTGACTTTGTGAAGATCAAGATAGAATTTTAAAGCAGGCAGGCAAGAATAACCCAAAACTTGGTAGTTTCTGCTTGGGAGATCTGTGGGAACAGGGCAGAGGAGTGACACTGCCAAGGAAAGTTTGGGAATGCAGCAGTGGATGGGACACAACCAGTGCCTGAGGGAGTGGGGCAGCCCCACTGCGACTGCAGAGCACAGGGCTGCAGCTCCATTCCTGCCTTTCCAAAGCCAGGAAAGCTCAGAAAAGACTAAAAATCCTCCCCGGATATTCGAGAGCAGCCCAAGGATAAGTCAGCTCCTCCTCCCTTCCAGGAGGCTGCTCAGACTGCTCTCTTCAGAGGGACTCTGCACAGATGGGACCATCTGCAATTCCTCTCTCCTCCTTACACATCCACTGCAGACTCACCAGCATCTGCTGGTGCTCCTTCACTTTTCCTTTGTAATCCATTCATGGTTTTGATTTAGGTTTCAAAGCCACAGAATCAGCTCTCTGTGCTGAAATCAGAGGTGCTCAGCAGCAGTGCCATGTGTGCAAACACTCCTTCCCCAGCCCTGCAGCCCAGTGCAATGGAATCAGATGACAGTGCTCACACACGCTCCCGACAGTTACATAAACTCAGCTGTTAAAATTACATGCCATTATATAACAGGTGAAAACACGGGCTCCAAACCTGACATCCCAGCAGGCAGCACATGCTGACAGGGCCTCAAATGCTGCTATTTAGCAAAAGCTGTGATATGGCATAAGAAGGCAGCATTTGAGAATCCACTAGATTAAAGTGAGCTTTATTTTTCTAGCATTTTGTAAGTCTTTAAATGAGCCATCATATTAATGTGAAATGAAGTGCAACTGCTTGCCTCTTAGAGCAAAAGATCTTCTCATACACTTACAGCAAAATAGCACAGACACAGTTTCACAGGAGTATAACAAAGGCAGCTGGTTACTACAGAGCAAGGAGGAAGAGGCTGTCCCAAATTCAGCTCTAGGCAATAATATTCTCTGAGACTAACAAATGCTGAGGCACTGATTTTTGGAGACAAGGTGCAGCACCAATGCAGTGCTATCAGTGGCTGTGGTAAAGCCAGTCAGCAACTGTGAAGGGAGCAGATTGCATATAGTAAACACAGCCCAATTAGCTGAAGTGTCCAGAAGTTACTGTATTAACTATATTTTAAATAATTTCTCATCAGTAGTATTTTCACTACGTTTGAAGGAATTCAAGTCCCATTTATTCAAGTCCTATTTTTATGCCCTGGGCAAGACTTGAATTAAATGCTGAAAAAGTAACTGATTTAGAGGCAAAGAAACAAATTCTATTTATTTTTCACTTCATTAACTCCAAAATCAGTCTTTTGTTCTCAAGCAATATTACTCAAAGGAAAGGTTAAACACATCTTCCCCCCTTTCTGTGAATCTGAAAACAATTGTATTTTGCAAGTTAATAGCAGTCCCCTCTTTGATGCCTCCCATCCAAAGGATCCCATCTGCTGATAAAAACCAAAGACACTACCATCTTCAAGTCCAAAATCAGGTCCCATGCATGGTTTGAAGGAGCTTAATCTATTACCTAAGGAACAATGAAAGTGTGCCATTTACATTTTAAAATATAATGTCAATGAAAGGACTGGCAATTTAAGATTGATATTTATTACTACTGTTAAAATCAGCATGGAAATATTAGAACACACACGTGAGCTTGTGATTAAATACATCACAGCCATTTTCCACACTAACCAAACCATAAATCACTACAAATAAGGTTATCAGAAAAGGGAAATTCTTACAGCAGTGTAAGCAAGAGCAAAGCACAGCTCAGGGTTAGCACAGCAGTCTCATAAGGGGATACTTTACTGATAAGAACCACACTCTACCTGGTGTGCCACTGGGAAGGCTCAGGCTGGAAAAGCAAGCCTGGCACATCACAAGAGATGGCTCCCAACACCTGCCTGCCCTGTATTTGCTCAAGGTGGAGCTAAGGGGCACCTGTGAGCAAAACTCAACCTGAGAGCAAGACAACACTTCAAAAAGCCTGGTAAGAGCCTGCAAAGGAAGCAGGCTTTTAATTTTCAAAGTTCATCTGCAAGATGAAAAGCATCCACATCTTTATGGCACGAAGATAATTTGTAGCTAGAAACCATGCTAATTTTCATTATCATTTCATTGATTTCAGTGCATTTGATATGCTTGCCTGCAGCTAGTATAGATGACAGACAGCTCTACTTGGGAATTGTTCCGAGTTTTAAAAATCTCCATTTCTCTCCAGAGAGCTTTTTCATTTACATATTAGTCATTTCAGAGCTCACTGGGTATGTGCTGGCCCCCTCCTGGAGCAGAAGTGCTTTGCCTGCCCCACCTGGAGCTCCCAGCACTCCCTGGTTACCTCCTCACTGACATTCCCCTGGGATTAACTGCAAGGGAGGCACAATCCTGCAGCCCTTTGTACACTCAATCTGACACCACAGAAATCCCAAAGACAACAGATCAATGAGTGTGCAAGTATGGGCATGTAGAAGAAGACTCATAGGATTAGAGTTGCTTAATTTTACAGTGCAAAGTGATTTTGGGATCAATTTTTATTTTGTTGTAGCAAGTTGTCTCCAAGGGTGAGGTGTTTAAATATTTTACATTTTATTAAATAAGAAACTGAACTCAATTTTTACATGTTGATTTTTTTCAAGTAAAAATAAGTGGTTTTGGCATCCCAAAATTTTATCCCAGGCTAAAAGAGGCTGGTAGGAGCAAACTGTATAACCTACCAATATTATTTCTTATCATGCCAATATGAATTTTTTTTAGGAATAGAAAAGCAAATCTGATATGCATGTTTAGAGGAATAATTTTCTTAACTAAAGTCTGACCTCATTCATCCAATATGCCACAACTACATCCTTTGACAGAATTCTTTATTAAGAGCATGGATGAGAGAAGCTATTGAGAGAATATATTATCAGCAAGTTAATAATATAGAGATACTGTTTGTGAGAATACTCAGCTCTTTATGCTTTCAAAGTAAGCCACTCCTTTGCTTTTCCATTACCAAACTTAGGCAAGTCAAGAGCTACTGACTCATTAGAGAAAATCATTAACTTTTCCTATGCAACAGCAAAGATTTAGTCATTTGACATTTTTAACACCAAAGGATACTGAATCTTCAAGGCACACAAAACAAGCATGGTTTGAAAGTAAATGTTTTCATTGTTGGTTAAATCCGAGGCAGTTTGGCATCAGTCCACACTGGTCTAAACCAGTGCTACAGTCCACCCAGTTTTATTCTTCCCTCAATGTGCTCATCCAAGCACTTGTTTGACCCCGTGGTGAGCTGGTTCAGGAAGTTAAGCTGGCAAAAAACTAACTGTACAAAAATAATCCCACAGGGAGGGCAGGGCTGCAGCAGGACTGGTTTGGATACGCTGGCTGAGGCTGTTAATGAACCATATCAATCATTTATGTATTTCCGCCTTTTTCCTCTCCAAAACAAGAAGAACAAACCTGTTCCTGTCAGACCAAGAGTAAGGGAAGTAAGGATACATGAAATGGCTGCTTCTCCATGAAAACACAACCTCTTGGATTCACCAAAACACTTTCAGGCTGCAAGGCATTCCAAGAAATAACTGATTATAAGAAGCTATTTTCAATCAGCAAAGAACTGCTTGAGTGGCTTACCAGAAACATTAATTGATGTTCCTGCATCGATAATTCCACTGTTGGGCCTTACACAGTATCTACGTGGTGCTGTGGTCTTAACTTTGAAGCACACATTTCTGTCCGTGGGGTTGCCGAGCTTCAGGTTTGTAGTGACCACATCTGTGAAAGGACCTGAGGAGGAGAGCAAAAGCAGACTTGAAATCACACAGAAAGCACTTTTCAAGCAGAGGCTAAGCAGGCTCTAAATCTCCGTTCACAAATCTTATAAAGTAATTAGATGTTCAATTTCCATCTGCAGCATGTACAGATAATCAGCACGCAAAGCTGAGGCTGCAGCCAGGCCCCAGCCCAAGAGCTCATCATTAACAGCAAAACAAAAGGGGGAAATCATTCACACGCTGTGCCAACACCACAACATGGCATTCAAAGGATGCCAAATTCCCTGCTGTGTCACAGTTGCTCCATTCTAGTCACAGAAGCCCAGGCTAGCAGAGATACCCGTGCTGTAGATGATAAGCAGTGAGTACAGTACAGGTTGTTAACCAAGGAATGGGAACCAAGGACTACCACAGATCCATCTGCACATGAAGCTGGACCTCCACAGAACCAGGATTCCACCAGGTATTCAGGAATGCCACACCAAAAACAGCAAGACAAGCATGCAGGGTACATCTCCTTTTGCCTACCAAGTTTTTTAATTTTTTTTATAAACTGTCTTGGCAACTAGAAATTATAAACCAGAAGAAATAATGGAGCCTACCTCACCCAGGACAGGAAATAACCATGTGGAAATAGGAAAATTTTTAGACACTGAGAGCACTGGCAAAGATTTCCATATTAGCAAAGCCAAAATTAAACCATTGTCAAGTTCTGCAAAACCAAGTGCAGGCAAATCCTTTTCTCTCAGGCTCACTACCTAACTGAAATTCCCAAATCCCTCAGGCAGAAGAAAGGCTGATTTCCTACAAGACACTGATAAATCAGACAGGTAGCACACAACCACAGTGCTTCACAGACGGTAAAGAAGTAAAATTAAAAGAAATATAAGCACACTTTGATCAACTGTCTTCTCCATAGAAGTGATTAATTTGATGCCTGAATAAAATACCTTCATTTGTCCTCAAGAGTAAAGGCAAATTAGTAAAAAAAAAAGCACCAAACTTTTCCTTGCAGAAATGGCAACCCTAAAATTTAAAAAGGGTGAATGATGATGATACTAAAAAAATTAAAAATAGAGGCAGCATTCCACCACCCTCCTCTTCCACATGGATGCCTTGATGTGATTTAAATTTGCTTCTTATTCTACACAAATTTGACTCCTAAGACAATATTTAATCCAGCTGTAACAGTACTACAGTGCTGCAACCTCTATCCTTGATCCAATTTGTTTAAAGTAATTAGAAGGGGAAAAGCCTCATAACAATCACACACATAATAACCCCAACCAGACAACAAGGCAGCACCACTTCTGTCTGCACCGAGCAAACCAGCCCTGCAATGCAACAGGAGCTACAAAAAACCTGAAGCAATAAAATTTTTGGATCCCATGGCAAAGATTTCACCAGCCCTGTACCTGGTGGAACACTGAGATGTGAAAGAGAATGAAACACAGCTGTGAAGTTTTCTCTGTGTTCTGCATGCAGGGAGAGACTTTAGGCTAATGGAAAATAACTGGCCAGAAGCAGCCACGAGTTGGTAAAGTCAAACAAGCCAAACCATCAGAAAAATCCAGCAAACATTTAGGTGTAAAGACAGTAGCAGATCTTCAAAACAGCCCTAACAGAGAGGTATCTAACATTTCAAAAGAAATTATAGGATGCCTATGCAATAAGGATGTGTCTCTACTAAAGAATTACAGCTTGAGCTGTTCCAGCACAGGGGGAGGGTTGGCTGTACAAAGCCCTTCATCTGCAGCTGCATCCTCAGTAGTACTTTGCTGGTCTGCATGCTGGGATAGATTTCCTGGGGGAAATACCATGTTTGTACTTGGCTGATCCATGAATGTGTGCGGGATTTGTGTGCCCCAGCACAGAGCTGCTGTTTGAAATAGCAATACAACAACAATTCTGTGTGGAAAATAATTTCCAAATGGAGTTACTTATTGCTAACATAGATCACACCAAAATATTTGGCAGCAAAACCTTTCAGCAGACGGAACTAATTTCTTCTTGTCTGCTTGGTGTTTCCTCTTCTGTTCTGTCCACTAAACCCTAAACAGTTTCTTTAGCTACATTTCCCCCCAGTTACAGGTTTTACAGCCACCACAACTCCACTAGAAGGTTGACATCTGCTCCCAGCAAACCTGTGGGCAAGCACACTCATTCTTATGGCACTGCTGTTCAAACTCTGCAGCAAAACAAAACACAGCAGACAAATGCAGGATTAACGTGCCAATTAAGGTCTCCTGAAGTAAAAAAATAAACAGACCACAGGGTATTACTCAGGGGTAACTGGGGCATGGCAGTGAAATATTATCACCTGGCTGGCCTGACTTTTACGAGCAAGGCCCACTGACTGCCAGCTTGGGCTGAAACGAAATCTTGGTCGCCTGTTGTTGGAATACTACAGCCAAAGTTACAGGTTTTGGGGAGGTTGGTGTATGTGGGAGAACTTATCCCAGGAGAGACACAAGTAATTCTGCACTGGAGATACACCTTTGCTTTCAACATCTGGATTTGAGCGCTGCAGATAAAGCTGGTGTGGGCATTACAGTCAGATGAGATGCACATCAACCCTGCAGCTTCATTTTCCAGTGCAAGCCCTTGGGACTTTGGGAATCGTACCCAAGTACAGTAAGAGAAAATACAATATTTCTGGTAACTTTGTCCTCATTACAAGTGGATGGGCTATTTATACAAGTTTATGCAACACCTGGACAAGGCTTGTACTCCCAAGGTGGGCTGAGAGCACAGCTGAGCCACACTGGGGCATCTGGATGGTCCTTGGGTGAAAGCAGCAAATGAAGACTGACTCTTTTGTGACTGTCCTCAAGAGCCACAACCCTTACTTAATCACATTATTTTGTTTTGAATGTTTTTTCAATTGCTCATAATAATATTTCTAGATAAGTGGAACTCGTACTAAGGCAGGGTGCTTTCCAAATGACAATTTGCTCTTTAAAATCATCCCAACTGTTTTTCTCACGTGTTTTTTAAAGATCATGAGAAGAATGACACTGGTGTCATCCCAAGGACAAAGTTATGGGAAACAGGGTCTGAACATGCATCATCTGACACGGGGTTGCCATGGGAGCATGGAAGAATGCAGTAAATTGAATTTGGTGCTGAAAGTCTGAAATACTCCACAAGGGTTTGGTGACTTTGCCCTGCCAAAATAAAGTCAACTCATGTTAATGCAAAGTGGGCATCTAGTGATACACAAACCAGCAGTAGTGAAAGGAAAAGAAACATCACCTTCTCTACTCATAAAGCAACAAAGAGTAAGAGGTATCCTGGTTTTTCATAGGACTACTTTTCAGCAGGGTTATTTCTGAACTGTGGCTTTTCACCCACAAATCCAACCCTTCAGGTTTGAAGATCACAATGTTACCTCAGAATTTTCCACAGCCCATTTCCTATTCAAACAGCAGTGCTGTATCAACCTTTCCTTAGAGAGCCATTCTGCAGGGTATGGCATTGTAATAACCCACACCATTTTAGTAATGATAAAAAAGTCTGGGAATTAGGTCAAAAGAACATGATGTCAACTCTATTTAAATTTTAAATAACCCTCACTGCAATAGAAATTGCCCATAATTGTTTCAGCAAATCCAGGCTGATAACTTTTTGATGAGCACAGTACTCACTGTGAGTTCCTTGCTACTTGCTCCTCAAAGAAACCACGTTACACAGCCACGTCATCTGTACTACATCTAAATACAACCATCCTCACCTTAACCAAAATTCCATGCTTTGGCATAGCAAATAATCAGTCCTCATGCTGTTTGGCACATGAAGGAATTCAGCATAAGTGCCAGCAGAGGGAAAGCTTTGATGGCACAGGCTTGGGCAGGAATGTTCAAACCCAGCAGGGACAGTCCTCTGCAGATCTGTACCTGCAATTATCACTACATCTTTATAATTAACCACACACATCAGGTGGGCCACAGGGCTGCTTAATTCCTGCATGAGTCCATCTCACTGCTGAAAGGGGAGGTGGTCTGGCCTCTCATCTCCACCGGCTGCCTGTGCAAGCTGCACTGTGTTCCTCTGCATGGGCCAAGAGCAGAGCCAGGGAGCTGCTGGGGCTGGAAATTAATCCACTTACCAGAGAGAGGGAGGGGGCAGAGGGGAAGAGAAAAAGGAGAATCAGTTTTCAGCCAGAATGAGCAGCACTCAGACCTGGCATCAGGGAAACTGCATCTTCCTGCACAGCATCCTGCCAATTTAAGGTCTCACAGTTGCAGGTTAAAGCTTGCAAGCACATCTGGGCATACGTGCTGCAGTCACTTGTAGTACTGGCATAGCTGCTGAAAGTAATTAAGGCACATTCATCATTTTTTCTGAATTTAATGCAAATTCTCATCTGCTAAAAGCTAGGCATTCCTAAAAAATGCAGTGAACTCTTCAAAGAAAAGCACTGCACAAATACTTGATACAACTGGCAACCACTGATCCACAAGACTAAGAATAAATTCTTATCAAGTTGCCCATGTTATTCCCAGAGTGTTTTAGATGCACTTTCAGCATCTTCCCCTAAAGAACTTTTGCAACTCCAGCTCACCACAGACATGTATCCAACAGCAAAGTAATTGGAAACAGTCAGAAATACAGGCAGAGCTTCTCATGAGATAACCTCTCTTGTACTTCCTTTGTGGAAAGCAGTGGAATGCAATAATAGGAGGGGAAGGATGTATTTCACCATGGTTTAATCCCACTGATGTGTCAGATGAAAGTCATTAATCACCTGACACATTAATCAGCCATAGAAAGGTAACTGAAGAATCTTTAATAAGGGAGATGGTGGAAAGCAATTGAGGGGAAACCTGAATTGTTTTGTGACTGTCCTCAAGAGCCCAAATCCTACATGTGACTGGTAGATGTTCACATGGAGCAGTAATTAATCCAGTGAAAGAGCCACACTGGCCCTGTGTGAGGGGAAAGGAAAGCTGAACATGATACTGATCCTTCCCCATCCCACACCCTACACTGGCCCCTCTCCCATGGCATTAA